GAAATATAAGTATTTGAAATGAACATGATTTCCTTATGTCTAGTGACATATCAGGGCCATTTTATGATTATTTGAAATACATTTCTTACATACAGCTCCTTTAACTCGGCCATTTGTAACTTGAATGCGTGGAAGCTTTCAGTGTCCTTTGCTTTTTCAGTTTATTTAGCTTTTCAGACTTTCAAAACATTTAGTCACTTGAGAAATGTCTATACCAAACAAAATGCATGAAAACATGTATAATAATGAGCATTTATGTTTTAAAGTCCCCCTGTAATTAATCATTTTATCCCTTTAAACTCCTCACCAAAGTTACATATTTAAATTTGTCCTTGGAGAAAAAAGTTCTTCATGGCTTAAAATAGCTTGAATGTAACGAGTACCCATGTAGTGCTCACTCCCTCAGCTCAGAGATCCACTGGTTGATGATCACACATTGATCTGATTGGTCACAAGGTCATTTGTGACGTCAGAAACACCAGCGATTTCAAACCGTGTTTATGAGACTTTCTTTGGTTCACTGCAGTTTTAAGCAGAAAATACTCAGCAATGCTGTCGACTTATGAATTTACACATGGTGTGTCTTAAAGCATATTAAAAACACTACATAGACACATAAATAACATTTAAAAGCTTGATTTATACCACAGGGGGACTTAATAAGTGTTATAATTGACACTTGAGTCTTGACCTTGTGGTGTTGAAGTAATAACGACTTTCACGAATTGTTCCTCAGTTTCAAAGGCGATGAGCGCAGCGGATGAGCACGTCAAGGCCGAGTGTCTCCAGCAGTCTCCTCACCCCGCTAGCACCACGTCTCTCCAGCATCACGGACAGTTCCCACCCCTCATGCCCAGCAAGCAAACCCCACCAGACCCGGGAGGAGGAGGAGGGGGCAACACCAGCCCAGGGGGCCCCCAGGGGCCCGGCAACTCCAAGCCCCCGACCATGTCCTACGCCAGCGCCCTCCGAGCCCCTCCAAAGCCCCGCCCGCTGCCTGAGCAGGTCAAGAAGAACAGTGACCCCATCTCTCTGTTACAGGAGCTTAGCATAGGCAGTTCAAACAGTAGCAATGGCTATTACACGTATTTTAAGTAAGTCAATATATATGAACTATATACACCTGTTAAAAAGGAAAACGGTTGAAAAAAATAGAATAACAATCTTAAAAAAATTATATAAAAATGTCTTTTGATTTTGTGGGATAGTTAGACATTTTGCGTTTTATTATTTTTTACTTGCTTTAGTACTAGTTGGTTCTTTTACAGTTTGGCATCTGTGATTTTACAAACCGAATCAGCATATATATATATATATATATATATATATATATATATATATATATATATGTCATGAAACACCAAAACATTTGGGAAAAAAAAAAAAAAAAATCAGTAACAAAAAAAAGAAAAAAAGATTTATTGAAAAAAAAGATTTTTAAAAACACCATGAATTGGCTGACCACTCAGCTGCCTGTCTTTCCTGTAATTATGTCCGCTCTCTTTGCATCCACTCCCAGAAGTAAAACTTGTTGAAGTGATTTTTTTCCCAGCTGGCATTTTTTTATGATGTTCAGTTTCTTGGTGTGTTTTCTTGTGCTTGCAGCTGAGTGGTGAACTGACTCAGATTAAAAAAAAATAAAAAAATATTATTAAAAGTTGTATAGATGTAGACAAACTTTTCTCAAACCTGTACATATGAATAAATGAATACATGAGATGACAACTGTGTGCTTTATTATTTTATCACCACATCCACAAAAAAATATCAGATATCAAACCTTTTGATTGTCAAATAAAATTGGACATCAGAACTTTTATTTTTATTAAGTCTCCAAATATGAGGAAAGATGCCAAATGAGCAGAAAGTTGATTTCTCGAGAAGTCTGCTTGTTATTGGATGATGCAATGGAAATCAAAATGCTCATTTTATTATAGTAGTTCACTTAAAAAAAAAAAAAAAAAAAAAAACTTTTGCTGATAATTTACTCAACCCCATGTCAAACAAGATGTCAATTTCTTTCTTTCTTGAGTTTATTTAAAATAAATCAAGGTTTTTGATGAAAACATTCAAGGATTATTCTCCATATAATGGACTTCAATGGGAACCAAACGGTTCAAGGTCCAAAAGACAGTTTCAGTGCAAATTTTTCAAAGGGCTTTAAATGTTTCCAGACGATGAATAAGAGTCTTATCAAGCGAAATGATCGCTCATTTAAAAAAAAAAAAATAACAAAGTTTAAGTTTTATAAGCTCAAAAGGTCACCTTGCTCTGTTCTGTCTGACTCTTCTGTTCGAACTCGTTCATCAAAATGAACGAATCATTTGACGAAACGAGTCAATTCGTTCATTTCGTTCGTTGAATGAACCAAATGACTCGAAAAAAGTTCGAACAGGAGAGTCATGAGCGCGCATCACAGAACAGCAAGGTGAGCATTTGAGCTTATAAAACTTAAACTTTGTTATTTTAATTTTTTTTAATGAGCGATCGTTTCGCTTGAAAAGATGTTATTCATCGTCTGGAATCGTTTAAAGCCCTTTGAACAGTTTGCACTGAAACTGTCTTTTGGACCTTGAACCGTTTGGTTCCCACTATAGTCCATTATATGGAGAAAAATCCTGGAATGTTTTCATCAAAATCCTTAATTTCTTTTCGACTGAAGAAAGAAAGACATGGACGTCTTGGATGACATGGGGGTGAGTAAATTATCAGCAAAAGTTTTTTTTTTTTAAGTGAACTACTTTAAGAAACAAAGAGAATTTTTTTCTGCTCACCTGATCAGGATATTTAAACTAATTAATCATTATAATGGTAAGCAAATAAACTGGTTGAAAAATGTAGAAATCAAACAAACTGGTCATTTTCAAGCTATTAAAGGGTTAGTTCAGCCAAAAAAATGTTAGGCCTAATTCTATTCATTCCCTCATGTCGTTCCATCCAAACCCCTCAGACTTTCTTTCATCTTTAGAACACAAATTAAGATATTTTTTGATGAATATCAAACAAGATCGTATGAATTGAGCGGTTTAAAAATTTTCTTTTTAAACTCGACCGCTTTATGAACTGATTACATTCAGGCTTGCTGTAAAACTTCCGGTGAAACGCAACTTGTTGGTGTGGATGTATCTTCGATTTTCTGAGTGAAATTTATCAGCATCAATAGTGTAATACTTGCTTCATAGTCCGAATATATTCAGTCAGGGCTAGCACTAATTTAGTTGTCGACACGTTAAACGAGGTGAACACGACAGCGCGCCGTGAGAAGTTTAGAAGAGCACACCAGTTTTCACACTTCCCCCCTCCGATGACCAACGACGAAAGAAATCATCAAATGGATCATCCATTTCTACACAAGGTATGTTGGTCTTTCTGTTAAAAAGTTGTGATACTAAAATGCGATTTATATTTTCCCAGTATCTCTAGCAGCTACTTCAGTTTATTTTCTTTATTGCTCGTTCCTTTGCTCAATGTTCCTTTGCTCAATGTAAGGTTCAGTCTTTTTAACACTGATTGGTCAATTATTTACGCGAGATATGATACATTAAGGTGTTCTGCAACATACCTTTCTGATGTTCAATGTTGTTAAATTCATTCTGTAACTAGTAAGAGAGGAATAGATGATCGTTTCATCATGGCTTGCTTGTCGCTTCTTCATTATGCTTTTTCTTTTTTTTAAATATTACCTTTAATGCACTGTGTATTATGGCTGCCTGTCTGAGAATGTTGCCTTCGGTCTGCAAAGTTGTAAAGTTAAAGGCTAATAGTGTTCCAAAAGAAAGAATCGACTCTCTGAACATTTGTCAGAAATTCCAGTCTCACTTCCGTGACATTCATACATACCGCGGTAACATTTGCACTAGTACAAACAACTTTCCTACTTTGACCCTCAAACATGGGTAGTATGAGGAGAAGAAGCTGTTTTTTGTAAAAGCAAATTCTCTTTGTTAAAGGGATAGTTCACTTTGAAATTAATTTTTGGGATGTTTTACCTCAAGGCTATCCAATATGTCTTTGTTTCGCAGTAGTTTCAATTTTGATATTTTTGGGTCAAACCATATGACTTGTCCGTCAGTCATATAATGGAGGTCTATGGTCACCACCTCAAAGAGCATGCACAGAGAAGTCCAAATTAAACATGATTTAATGACTCATGTTGTAAATTTACATACATTGATGGCCTAAGACACGAAACAAGCGGTATGTAGTTTTTACCGCTAGTTACCTCAGCCACAAAGCGCCTGCGCCCTCAGATCACTTGGACGTGGCTGTGGTTACAAGAGGTAAAAACGATATAAATACTGTTCGTTTTCTCACACAAACCGCTCGTTTCGTGTCTTAGTCCATCAGTGTGTACTTACATTTACGAGTCATTAAATCATGTTTAATTTGGACTTCTCTGTGCATGCTCTTTGAGGTGGTGACCATAGACCTCCATTATATGACTGACAGACAAGAACGGTTTGACCTAAAAATATCAAAATTGAAACTACTAAGCTAAAACATACCAAAAAATTATTTCAAAGTGAACTATCCCTTTAAAACTTCTAAAGGATGAGGATGTCAGTAGTTAAAATTACCACAGCGACACAACAGCCATCTAACCTTTTGATTTCTTCACCTGATTTCTTTTGTTTTGAATGTTCACCGGAAATGCCCGGGTGAAGTCGTCTTCATTGGCCGTCTGAATGCAACATCTACTTTAACTGTAGTTGTTGCAGAGGACTGGAAGAGTTGGGTTCATGTTGTCGACATGTAGAGACGTTTTCTTTGCTGAAAAAAAAAATCCACTTTGATGCACTTCCAAAAGTCGTGGACTCGCGCTTGAGTCGATATGATAAAACCGACGCCATTACTGTTCATATCTCTGTGTATCAAGCACTGAGGAAGATGAAAATTGAATACCTGTGTTAGGTGACTGTGTTCATTTTAAACAAATTCAATATCCTCAAGGATAACGCTAAATCACAAAGATAACAAAATAAGCTCACTGAGTATGCTTGTAGTCCTATATGAATTTATATGAACATTTTGTGGATTTGTACAATCCTTGATAACATAAAGCAGATACATACACATTTGATATCCTCGTCATCTTGGAAAATGGACCATATACAATCAAATGAGATTGAGAATATCTCTCCCTCTTAATTATGAATACAATCTAACACTAGCAAGTAGTAAATCACATTTTGAAAAGCTATTGGCTATTTTAAAAAAAGATGATCTTCAGCATGTCCTGTTTCAATAGTAAAAACATCAACAAATACAATGTTTAACAGTCTTTCTTGAGGATCACTGAGATTCACTCACTCAAGAGCAGGAAGTTCAAGTGTGACATTACTAAAGGAATATATCACATCTTAAATGACCTGGGAATTATGAACCTGTACTTGATTACCTTACTTTAAAGTGCAATCTGCATTTCCTGAAACTGATCATACATCTCTGGATATCATTGCTGATCCAATATGCTTTTACATTCATCTATCAGCACATTTAATGTCACCGTTTCAGGAATGACAGATTGGAAACGTATAAATACATTCTAAGCTGTCATCTATTGCATAAGCATGAATGCAAATAAAAATGGTTTCTGAATACAATAAAACATACAAAATTCACATTAGATGTGGGTCTTAAAGGGATAGTTCACCCAAAAATGTAAATTCTGTCATCATTTACTTTACTCACCTTCAAATCATTACACGATTTTGCAAAATTTCGAAGAAAGTTTCAAATTTCGAATTTTTCGAAGAAAGAAAAATTTCGCATTTTTTTGAAAAAAATAAAAATTTTGGATGACCTATTCCTTGTAATAATTAGACGACTGTGTCAGTGCTTAGTTAAAAATATCAATGCATCACTATCATCATCTATAAATGCAATGCGTCAATGCATCTCATTGTCATTCACACTGCTAGTATGACTCCTGTGTCAGTTGCGTTGCGCTCTTACTCGGCGGTGCACGCTACACTAGTCTATGGAATCCGGGTCGGCGTCCATGCAGGTCTCCCAGGGGTTTCTGGGCATGTGTGGCATGGAGATGATGAGGAGGCTGAGGCCACTGAGGAAGAGGAGGGTGAAGGCGGCGCAGGCGCAAGCGAAGGACCATGAATAGTAGTACTCGATCCATATGGTCTCGTCGCTGTCGATCATGCGTTTGACCGACTGCCTCATGACCTCCACGGAGATGACGATACACAGGCCTGTGAGGATGAGGAAGGTTAAATGGAGAATCAAGAGGGTGGTTTAGAGGTGGGTGCCTGGGGGTTTTAAACTATTGATTCACCAGCACACCATCCTGCAAGTCCTTTATAAATGCTTTTGACCTGCTAGACACTTGCATGTACACAGTATAAGGAGTAGTTCACTTTTAAAAAAACTTTTGCTGATAATTTACTCGCCCCCATGTCATCCAAGATGTCCATGTCTTTCTTTCTTCAGTCGAAAAGAAATTAAGGTTTTTGATGAAAACATTCCAGGATTTTTCTCCATATAATGGACTTCAGTGGGAACCAAAAGACAGTTTCAGTGCAAACTTGTTCAAAGGGCTTTAAACGATTCCAGACGATGAATGAGGCTCTTATCAAGCGAAACGATCGCTCATTTAAAAAAAAAAGTTTAAGTTTCATAAGCTCAAATGCTCGCCTTGCTCTGTTCTGTGAGGAGCGTTCGTGACTCTCCTGTTCGAACTTTTTCCGAGTCATTTTGTTCAATTCGATCGTTGAATGAACCAAATGATTTGAAAAAAGTTTTGTTCATTTTTGCATTTGTGCTTATAAAACTTACCTTTGTTATTTATCTTTTAAATGAGCGATCGTTTCGCTTGATAAGACCCTTATTCATCGTCTGGAATTGTTTAAAGCCCTTTGAACAGTTTGCACTGAAACTGTCATTTGGACCTTGAACCGTTTGGTTCCCATTGAAGTCCATTATATGGAGAAAAATCCTGGAATATTTTCATCGAAAACCTTAATTTCTTTTCGACTGAAGAAAGAAAGACATGGGCATCTTGGATGACATGGGGGTGAGTAAATTATCAGCAAAAGTTTTTTTGCTGATAATATCTGTACCATGGTAGCCTACTAGAAGTCATGCAAATCATTATCAAAACACAAGAAAGTATGAACTCAGCTTAACATTGTGCTTACCTGCAAAAGCAAAGAACATGCCAGCTGGTCTCAGTAGGTAGTCTCTACCCTTCCCAAAAGCCCCCAGGAGGCAGAGACTGCCCAGCGTCATGAAGGCCAGACTGAAGATGGCGATGGCAGCAGCTGAGATGTTGTACTCTGACAGAAGACAATCACACAGTGAGTCTCAGTGTGGATCAAAGCAAGATCAAGCTTCAGTTATGCATTCAGGTGTAACTTTCAGAGCCCTCTATTTCGCGGACTTCTCACAAGATTTATCCTATCCCAGAACGGGACCGTTTCCATTGAACAAAGGTTAGGCCATGGCCTCCTCGCATATCGTCTCCTTAAAATCCTGTCAATGCACTGAAGTTGCCCCGCTTTTGTATATTAACATTGAACTTTTTTTTTATGTGCTGGCTTTGACGTCCCAGCTGAGGATAATTGCCATTGAGTCTGTTATTTATTTTAAACCTGACGTACATATCCCACATAGCAAACTGACATTGAATCAACGTGGAAATATGACATCGAAACAACGTTGATCTGACATTGTTTTGCTCATCGAATTAACGTTGAACCAACGTCAGGCGCGTCATTCTTTCAAAACTAACGGAAAATCAACTTGAAATCAACGCGTTGTTTCAACGTTATGAAAGCAAACCAATTTTCGATTTTCATTTAGCTTTGAAGAATGCCGCGTCTGACGTTGGTTCAACGTTAATTCGATGAGCAAAATCAACGTTGTTTCAATGTCATGAGAGACGTCGTTTCCACGTTGATTCAATGTCAGTTTGCTGTCTGGGATATGTATCACAATTAATAAATTTGTGCTATGCTAATCTGCTAGCATGCTGACTGAAAAAGAAAGACTTTAGTTTGACCAATTGTAGCTTTGGGTGCATTGTGATGTCTGATAGGTAATTAAAAATAATATTTATTTATTTGTTTCATGGTTAAGACTCAGCAATGTTGTCGGATTGTTGGAAGAGTTATTTTAGCGAGAAGTTTCAACACAAGCTAACTGTTTGTCCTTGTTTTTGGTAGGTTTATCAAGTTTACTTACAGTATATTTCTGTTTCGTTGTAATTAATGTCAATGTTTTAAATGCAGTTCCTTCACCAAAATAACTCGCATTCACCTCTCTAGACACCTTGTTCTCACAATCAAATCATTGAAGGATGACTTCATCTACCCTGCTAATTCAGTTTATATTGCTAATCAGCCTGACCTCTAGACTAATGTTGCGTTTAACATCATTAATTAGTAATACAGACAGATCAATAGTGTGAATGACTATTGACATTTTAGGATGTGGCTCAGGAACTGTGTGGCTTCACGTCTCGTCGCATTTAAGGCTTTATTCCTCTTTATAAAAGGGTTAATTCCAGTCCTTGACACTGATTGGTCAATAGCTGTGCTTTATCCATGATAAAACACGGCTATGACCGCCGTTGTGTTTATTTGAGCTTTCATCCATATTACACATTGGAGCGTTGTTGCTGTTCATGGTCAGGGACTATTTTTTTCTAGCGGAAGGAAGGCTTTTAGTGATTTTACTTCATGAAAGTTGCACTAATACGTTTTTTTTTTACTTTAATATTTTTATTGTGTGGTAACCGTTTTATAAAAGCAATGAGGCACTCGAGCCAAGTGCTGTATTGTAAATAAGTAACGGCCGAAGGGGTTACTCCGCTTTGCGTCGTGCCTAACAACGCCCTTCAGCCGTGACTTATTCACGATACAGCACTTGCCTTGAGTACCTTATTGCTTACTAAACTCAATGACTGAGCTAGCGCTTGAAATAGCCAAGATGCACTTTGCTCAAGTAGGTGGAAAATGTAATGCCAGTGGCCATATTTGGTTGCCAGATTGCACTGCTTGTGCTTGGTGGACATTACCTGTGTGAGCGACAAAGATCTAGCATTAAGAAGAACAAGATATATTTAATTATATCTTGGGAAAGTTACTTGCTTATGTTCTCAGCTAACAAAAATATGTTCTGAAAACATTTTTGCTAACCCCAAATTCACCCCAAAATGAAAATCTGTCAGTAATTACTCGCCCTCATGTTGTTCCAACCCTGTAATGCCTGGTTCAGATTACATGATTTTTTTTTGTCTGTTACAAATAGTTTTGTCAGATTACGCGATTTTGACTCCTAAAATCTTGTTGTGTCATGGACAAGAAACATGTCAGACTACGCATTGCTTCCTGACCAGTCATCGCGTGCAGTCATCGAGAAGGCGAAACTAGTAGTGAGTAGGGTTGGGTATCGAGAATCGAGTATCGATTGGAACCGGGACTAACTTTTCGTTTTTCCCGGAATCGTTCAAAAGTTAAAATTTCGATTCCTAGTTTCGATATTCACAGTCCGCCGAGCGGAAGAAGAAACCGCTGAACAACACCAACGAAGAAGCATCTACCGGAAGTGTTGGCATAACCGTGCGAATCGAACATGACTACCCAGACAGCAAACTGACATTGAATCAACGTGGAAACGACGTCTCTCATGACATTGAAACAACGTTGATTTTGCTCATCGAATTAACGTTGAACCAACGTCAGACGCGGCATTCTTCAAAGCTAAATGAAAATCGAAAATTGGTTTGCTTTCATAACGTTGAAACAACGCGTTGATTTCAAGTTGATTTTCCGTTAGTTTTGAAAGAATGACGCGTCTGACGTTGGTTCAACGTTAATTCGATGAGCAAAACAATGTCAGATCAACGTTGTTTCGATGTCATATTTCCACGTTGATTCAATGTCAGTTTGCTATCTGGGTAGCTTACGTCGGCGGTCCCAACGTGTGTGTTTGTGACAAAAGGAGTATTTCCTTCAGAAAGGATTATTTCCTTCAGAAAGGCCATTGGTTAGCAAGCAAGGTTAGCTAAACTTTTTTGACCCTGGCTCTTAAAAGAATCAGAATCGAGAATCGTTGGGAACCGGAATCGAAACAAGGAATCGGAATCAGAATCGTTCAAATTCAAACGATACCCAACCCTAGTAGTGAGTGACTTGGATGAACAATGGATGAAGCGGTGAGTGTTGTATTGGCTGTCCTGTGTTCAGAAAAAAAGTGAAAAAAGAAAGAAAACCCGACAATGGACACGTTCCTGGATTGCTCGAAGAGGACAGTATGGGCTGTCAATCCTCCGAACTTGAGGTAAAATAGTTTTCTTATATATTTTTACTTTTAGTTTTAACGTTAGCACCATCGTCTCTTTCGTTTCGCCATTTTTGAAAGTTGTGTTCGGAAAAGCTTCTGTGCTCCTATTGGTCAACCTCGTATGTGACGGAACTGTTGTGGATGACTGTTAAAAAAATTAAACAGGCTAGTCTTTTTGTCGTGATGTCGTGAAGCATCGCAGACGCGATGTAGTAGGTTGTCGCACACTATGACACACTATACGAGATGATACGATCGAATCTTGCGTCCTGACGCCCGTTGTCGTTTACGAATCCCCACAACACCCTACGTCAAACGGATCGTGCCAAAATTGTGTAATCTGAACCAGGCATAAGACTTTTGTTCATCTTTGGAACATATATTAAGATATTTTTGATTAAATCTGAGAGCTGGATCACTCCTCTACGAAAACGTATTGCTTTCACTTTAGGAAACAAAATCTACTCTGTTTTTCTGAATTAACGTGTTAATTATCTCAGAATTACGAGATAGTTTTTCATTGAAAAAAGTTGTTGCTCTGTTTTTCTGAATTAACAAGTTAATTATCTCAGAATTACGAGAATTTTTCATGGAAAAAATTTTTTTGCTCTGTTTTTCTGAATTAATGACCAATGAATTTTTTTCAACAAAAATATCTCATAATCCTGAGATAATTAACAGGATAATAAAGAAAAACAGAGCAAAAACTTTTTTCCATGAAAAATTATCTCATAATTCTGAGATAAATAACTTGTTAATTAAAAAAAGTAGTAGATTTTTTTCTTCAAGTGCATGCTATACACTTCCGTACTCCTCCATAGGCTTCATAGGATTGAAACTTGCTGGCCCCCCACACCCACTTGACGTACAACTCAAAAACGCCTGTTACACGTGAAGTCTCATGGCCCACTGAGTAGGAAATTAATAGTTGAAAAAAGTGGTTATTTTTTTTATTTTATTTTTTGCGTATATAAAAAGTATTTTCATCGCTAGAAAAACTTAAAGATAGAGCCACTGTAGTCACTCAGACTATTTTAACAATGTCTTTAACAATGTCTTTTTTACGATCCCAGCCTATGGAGGAGTGATCCAGCTCTCAGATTTCATCAAAAATATCTTAAATTGTGTTCCGAAGATGAACGAAGGTCTTACGAGGTTGGAACAACATGAGGGCGAATATGCTTTCCATTGGGGTGAAGGAGTTAAATTCAGTTTAATGTCCGCAGCGTGAACACAGTCCACTCCAGTCCAGAGGTGTGATATCACAGAGCGGATCATATGATCGAGTCACCGCAGACCAGAAAACATATCGAACACATTTTAATTCTGCACAGAATTCTATACTTTAAAGCGACATTAGGAGGAAACTGCGGCTTTACGCAGTTCAACAGCTCTGGCCAGGCTGTGATATAAATGAAACGCTATTGGCTTTTTTTTTAAAAAGGGGAGGAGCTGCTCAATTTGTCCTGCCCATTCATCCTTTTACAGTGGAAATAACATCAACACATTGAATACTGCTGCACATTTCAAGGCACTTAACCCTCTGATGGTCTTCATTTAGGAGTCACGTCCTGAGCCTTCCCGGTCAGAAGTGACCGGACACCTAAGAATGAAACTTCCTCCATTCCAGTAAAAACCAATGCAATTTATTTTTATTCTATAATATTTATTCTTTTTAATTTAGTATTTTGAGACAATTTGATTTAATTTTTTAATATTTATGCAATATTTATGGTCTATTTTTGCCATGGAAAAATACATATATTTTTATATATATATATATATTATTTTTTTTAATGCAGTATTTTAGTTTAATATAGAGTTTAGGCCTTCAGAAAAAAAAAAATGTTTTTTGAAGAAAATTAGCACCATCTGGTTAAAGTATAGAGAAAAAGCGTAGAACCACGGTGTTAGAGGCATGTGAGAAGCATGTGAATTCCCCAGCTGTTTATGAACACATTTATTTTTTTGTGTGGATTTGAATATATATTTGAAACAGTCTCAAAAATGATTTCTCATTAAGTTTTAGATTTTTTTTTTTCGAATGGGGGTCATTTTTTCCGAAATTGTGACTATTTTTTTTTTTACGACCACTTAGCATGCTCGGATCATGAACTCAATTTTTTTGTGTGTTCACATCCCTAATGCCACAAATGTCACCAAGTTTCGTAACATTCAAATGAAGCTGTGATTTAAAAAAATTCAAAACAGATTTTTTGTAATCTGAATTTAATGGTGTGTATGTGTATAAAAGTGTGTTTGTATGTGTGTGTGAGTGAGTGGGTGTGAATTTTTTTAACTGCGGTAATACTTTCTTTTAAAAACGTGGCCGATTTGTAGATTGTTTTTGTAAATTTCCCATTCATTTCCTATGGGTCGGTCATTTTTGACCGAAGACCACGAGTGTGACTATTTTTTTTACGACCACTTAGCATGCTCGGATCATAACCTCTATTTTTTCTTGTATTCACATACCAAATGTCAGAAAAGTCACCAAGTGTCATAACCTTCCGATGAAGCTGTGATTTCTTAAAATTCAAAACAGAAAATTATTCGGTCAGAAGTGACCGAGGACCATCAGAGGGTTGAGTCTTTAAAGTTAATTAATGTTAATCGAAGAACACAAATTTCAGAGAACATTCCCTGTTAGCACGGTTGCATTCCTAAGTTGTCATGAGTTTTCTAGGGTGTTCAGAGTGTTGCTATACTATCCTAAATCAAAATAAGTCTGTCCCCAAATCTCTTTAACATTCTGCTTTGGGTCACTCCTTCAATGCAAGTTTTGTTTGACATTGATCAAGCAGAAATAAAAAGATGGCTTATACCTCTACTCAACTAAGCTGTAAGATTTGAAGTGTTTTTATTGTCTGTTGTGTAATCGGTGCAGTGCAACAGTTCATTCAAATTCCTAGTTTACTTATCCCCTAATCTCTGCTTGGTTTTAAGTGAAAGCCTTTACAATATCCTCACGTGATTTCAAAGTCAGAGAACCTTACCTTTCTGAGTCTTTACTTCAAAAACTTCAGCCTCTTCCCCTGATGTGAAGTGTTTGAAGTATGAGCAGTTCTTGACTGCAAAACAAGATGAAAACAGTTATTGTAGCTGAGGGTTGCAGGTGCTGCCGTAGCCTGTCGTTACGATGCAGCCAAACTACCAATGAGTCTGCTTGACATTTCTCCATAGCCGGGTGCGCGAAAACAAGCCAGGCATTCGTGTGTGTCCATTGAATGGATTGGGAATTCTGAAGTATGTGCAGAGGGCATGTGATTACGATTACTTGCTGTATGACAGGATTCTGTAATAAGATGCACATGATTAGTTCATGTATGTGTTTGTTTGTTTTTTCGGCAAGGGGGGGAAATTAGCTGTACTTTGCTTCCTACCATTATTTCACCCTCCCAACACTTTTGGTTGCACAATTCCCTAATATTCGCCCCAAGAAATGAGCTTCTCACCAATGAGTTCATCAGGTTGCATCGCAAAATGAGGCCTCCGTCCCGCACGTCCCTGGGCAATGGGAAAGTCACGTTAAATAAGAGTTCTTTCGGTAGGAACCTCTTCTTTAGATTAAACTCATAAAGCAACCTCAGCATCCCCTGTGCCGGGAGAAAGACATGAGATTGGGAACTGACAGAGGAGTTGTTTGTTACGCTGGACCAAATATCTCCACCACAAGTGGGGGGTGGGGGAGGCCTATCTGTAGGTTACCTAGCAACAGGCTGGTCTTAGCTTTATTAGTAAAGGCAGACTGACTGAGGCGAGAGAATGGGATGCATCGCGCTGTGCTGCTTTAGACTGTGATTTACTCAGCTTATTTGCCTATTCCCATCACAGGCCCTTAGCGCAAGCTGTTGTGGATGAGTTCATCTCTCAATGGGCGTCTCTCTGAGAGCTTTTGGCCATAATGTTTGCCGCCATGTGTAGGCTAATACACGTTTTGGGTCGTGGTCAGTTGCCTGGGGAAAAATAACCATGCTTTAGCATTTCAACACCCTCATCCCACAAACTGAGACTGGATTTTAATTGCGTTTCAAGCCGTTTCTTGTAATAGAGGGTTTCATGGAGATGCCTGTTTTCCAAGCCATTGAATGTCTCTTCATGTCCTCTTCTTCACCTGTCTTGCTTCAGTAGGCTTGTCAGCGTCCTTCATACATTTAGAGACACGCACTGACAGAACGATCATGAATCAGTTCCAAATAAAAGGGCAACTCTTTGACAAATCTGTAATTTTTTTCCCCCTGGCACCTATCGAACGTAAGACCTGTGCCACGCGACCTTGCTCTGCATGTAGGCAGATCTGTTTTTCAGCTTGATTGTACCTAAAGCTCAAAAAGAACAGAATGAGTCTTTTCAGTTCAGCAGCACCGCCGAGCAAAATGAGGAGCCGAAAATAGCAATTTGGGGCGTATCATTGACCTCGCAGGTTTGTTAATGGAAGCACTTATTTCAGGGAGGAGGTCGATTGCTGGGTTGCAGTGGCTGTCATTTTAGTTTTTTTTACATTTTGATTAAAGCTCACTCTATTTAGTGACTCATGCAAACAGACCATTGGGCTTGACAAGTTGCCTTAAGTGTGAGGCTTCCGAGCACCTTTAAAGGGTAACTAAACCCCTGGTCAGAGCCTGACTCCACCCACTGGCAATATTTGAAAATGCTGAAAAAGTGGGCAGACCCCAGCGGAGATAGAGGGGACGAAATAGATGCTAAAACACTCTATCCTGATCGTTTTCAATACTCCGAATTCCAATTCCTGACCCGCTACAGTGGTTTTGACGACAGAAGATGGTTTTTATACTGCCAAGGGCGTAGCTCGCGTGGTGAGCTGAAACGTGTGTACGTCACAAAGTGCGGAACATCCAATAGGAAAATTCAACTGCAGTAGCCACCGTTCAACCTGAAGAGGGCAGCACTAAGACGTTTTTACACCATATATTGTAGAAATAAAACACTTTATACACAAATGTCAAAAAAGTTACTCGAATCAATGACTGGTATTATTAAAGATCCATTCTTACAGATCATTAACTAAAAAAAGTTGGTTAAAATGTTTAGTTACTCTTTAAGGCCCGTACACACCGAGACGAATATCAGCGCGCGTTATTCGTCAGGGTTTTTCAACGTGTTTTTTGTGTTCACACCCAAGCGATTTTCGCTGACGATGAGCCGAGTGAACATGCAAATTCGTTCCCTGACATTAGATGGTGCCAATTTGCTCTGCAATACCACTCCATATAAGTTCTCCATATAAGTTCTCTTTTATCAAGATGTTTGTACTTCGCTGTCGCGTTTGTCATATACAGGGGTTGGACAATGAAACTGAAACACCTGATTTTACAACACAATAATTTGTTAGAATGGTGAGGGCCTCATTTTGCATCCAAATACAGCACCAATTGACAGATAGAAGTCCTTCACAGTGACCAGAGGGATTATGAGCCGTTCCTCTTCCAGAACAGTGTCCAGGTCACTATATGATGCTGGTGGACTCGCTCCTCCAAAACACCTCAATAATATTCAGATCTGGTGACTGTCAGACCATGGGAGATGTTCAACGTCACTTTCATCTTCATCAAACCCTTCTGTCACAAGTCTTGCTGTGTGTGTTGGTGCATGATCATGCTGATACACGGTTTGAGCATCAGGTACTCATGAATCTCCAGAAGGGTTTGGTAGTCCTCTGCAGTGTCGTGTCCATCAAATACAATCAGGATTGTCATGATATTGGAGCTCAAACCATCACTGATCCATCCGTGCTTCACTCTGAAGATTGGCCGCCAGGCATATAGATGTGAAACCTCCAACATTGGCCAGTGTTTCAGTTTCATTGTCCAACCCTTGTAGTTCTTTATGTTCTAACACCAACGAGACCAGCAGCTCTACATTCATCTTGCCTCGCATCTTCCTCGTCGTATTTCTTCCTGGCTGTGTAGACGGCGACGCTACTTGGCGTATATCTTTTTCGCCGTTGCATATGTGTGCTCGGCAAGACCGTTTTGTGTTTGAGCGCCCCCAAGTTGTGTTTTACTGTAACTTCAGAAGCTCCAAACACGTGAGCAAAACTAGCTCAAACTAAAAAAACGAATGACGCTTTTACACGTGGCGTTTTACGCGTACTCACATTGGCGCCCTTTGTTTATTCACGAGGCGTTAAACGTCACGCTCACGAAATTCGTCCTGGTGTGAACAGGCATTTAGGTGGCTGTGCTGTTTTTATCCCAGGAAATATGGAGCAGTAGCTCAAGAAAACAGAGGTGTCCTCTTTTGTCAACTTGAGTGACCGTTAGATTCTGGGTCAATGTGAGAGGAGGAGGAGGACACATTTAAAGCAGCTAACCCGCTAATGGTGCTTATGTATTTGGGTCACACAAGGGAAGTGACTTCCTCCGGGGCCTCCGGGCCTTTGCAGAAGTTTGGCGGACCAACAGAAAAAACACCTGCCATACAAAAGTACCATATGAATAGTTAATCGAAAAATTTAAATTGTCATTCCCTTCTTATTGGTCAAAGATACTGTCTGTCTTAAGTGGAAAACGAAAGAAGATTCACAGTGGGCCTTCGCATAATTAACTCCACTGGAAAGATCAAGAGATATTTTAACAGACCTGAGTGTTGAATGAGTGTGAAATGCTAGATTCCCTTGAAGAACTTGATGAGTCTCGCCAACACTGACAATTCTTCTTTTCCCTCTGTGAGGAGCAAGTCTGGGAGTGAAGCCAAGAATCACTGAGCAAGCAGGAATATAATTGCTTAAATGCTATGTTTTTGGCTCATGGCTTCTTCTGTGCAGTTCAAGAGGCTATCCAAATCTAACCATTCCCCAGGCAATGGTGTTTGCAGTACTAGTGTGAACTGGGCCACACCTTGTCTCATGGGACGTCACTTAGAACGGCTGCTCTCTGTAAGGTGTCTGTGGAGCCTCAAGGTTAGGTGCTTTCTAACCTTTTCCAGCACAAAGTCTCCCACTAGGCCAGGAATATCAACAAGTGTCTCCCAAGACTGCAAGCCACCACCTGATTGAACTGCGTATCTCCTAATGTGTCTAAAAGTGAGAGCTTCAGGGTTTGGTTTGAGCAAAGTCTGTGCAGTCCCCGACTAAAAAATTCAGCATTGCTGGTAGGGTTGGGTATCGTTTGAATTTGAACGATTCTGATTCCGATTCCTTGTTTCGATTCCGGTTCCCAACGATTCTCGATTCCGATTCCGATTCTTTTAAGAGGCAGGGTCAAAAAAGTTTAGCAAACCTTGCTAACCAACGGTGTTTCTGAAGGAAATACTCCTTCTGTCACAAATACTCCTTTTGTCACAAATTTTGCATTTTGCCGAGATTTCGTTAGTTTTAGAAAAGTGAAGCCACACTTTGGACCGCCGACGTAAGCTACTCATGTTCGACTCGCGCGGTTATGCCAACACTTCCGGTAGACGCTTCTTCGTTGGTGTTGCCAACCGCTCGGCGGACTGTGAATATCGAAACTAGGAATCGAAATTTTAACTTTTGAACGATTCTGGGAAAAATGAAAAGTTAGTCCCGGTTCCAATCGATACTCGATTCTCGATACCCAACCCTAATTGCTGGTCAGCAGCATAAGGTCTGTTTTGCATGCTGGTGCCAGCAAGGGATGGTGCTTGCTAGTTTGCTGGCCACCAGCACAGGAAGTGGTAGTGCTGGTGGACCAGATACTCCAGTACAGCTTTGTTTGATAACAGCATGACTATGCTGGTCCACCTGCTAGACCAACACTGTACTAGCGTAAACCAGCTAGGACCAGCATGGAATTCATGCTGGTTTATGTTAGATTTTCCAGTAGGGAGTGTCATGAAAAAATGTTTGACAAACCACAGATTTGGTTAATTTTGACTGCCGAGCTCTAAAATTAAAGTTAGTAATAATAATAATAATTCGTTACATTTATATAGCGCTTTTTCTGGGACCTCAAAGCGCTTCACATAGAGGGGGGGGGGGGGGGGATCTCCTCAACCACCACCAATGTGCAGCATCCACCTGGATGATGCGATGGCAGCCATATTGCGCCAGAACGCTCACCACACACCAGCTTATTGGTGGAGAAGAGACAATTAGTATATAGGGATGATTAGGAGGCCATGATGGACAGAGGCCAAGGGGCAAATTTGGCCAGGATGCCGGGGTTACACCCCTACTCTTTTTCAAAGGACATCCTAGTTTAGATTTTTGATGAAATAATGGCTAGTTCTTTATGTGTTATTGATAGTCTTGCCTAGGCAGATTTTTGACTATGGGCATAAGGTCTAGTACACACTGCAGCTTATCCCAGAACCACCCACTGTTCATGTTTTTACATGAAGTTTAGTGGTGTGGTATAATAGGGGGCTACATTTGAAATATCCCTGAGAGTAAAGCGCAATAGGTGTAGTTAAGGATATCTTATTTACTTGCTACTAAGTCTTGACCTTTAAAAGATCTCAGCTCAAAGCAACTAGCTAAGCGAGCAAACCTTTGACTTCTTCCTGGGGATAATTCTGGAAAGATTTGATTCCCAGTAAAGCCAGACAACCAGATTGGAGCTTGCTGCTTTAAGAAAGCTGTTTCCATTTTGTGTAAAATACACATTAGATAAGTGGTTATCAGGTCCATAAATGGTCCAATGGCATTTAAGGCTGATGCTACATGCTGGACGGCGAGATGTAGTGCCCTATAATAGTAAGTTGTCAACACGTCTAAGATAAGTAACTATGATGGATCAGCCCGCTCTCATCCCAAGGCGTCATATACGACGCTTTTGCCAATGCGTAGACATCCAACACACATGGCACCCTTTAGCGTCAATATGAGAGGCGGATATATATGGGGCAGAAGGCGCCTCCTAGTGGTCTAACCCTAAACCTACCCCAGACCTAAACCTACCCATACTCTATGCTTGTTATATTGACGCTAAAGGGTGCCATGTGCGTTGGATGTGAAAAAGCGCTGTATATGACGCCTTGGGATGAGAATGTGTTGGATGGATACACGATTGAAACTGCAGGCCGCTGTCCTTCTGCCATCCATAGTTGATGTGAAATCTTGGGGCATTGCTTAAGGATGAGATTCTCTCCAGACATTCACAAGAGCACATGGTGGGAGTGTGATAAATAGAGGATGCTGGTCTTACTGCCCCCTGCATAAAATAGGACCCAATTACCTATTCATTCCACTTGTTTCTATTGTTTCAGAGCCCTCTCTTCCTTAAATCCATCCACTCCAACCTCACTAATCAATTTTTGTTATATCTGTCAATATTCTATCATCTGTATTTCACAAGTATGTTTGCAGAGCACAGTTGACGGTTAAAGGATTAGTTCACTTTTGAAAAAACTTTTGCTGATAATTTACTCACCCCCATGTCATCCAAGATGTCCATGTCTTTCTTTCCTCAGTCGAAAAAAAATTAAGGTTTTTGATGAAAACATTCCAGGATTTTTCTCCATATAATGGACTTCAATGGGAACCAGACGGTCCAAGGTCCAAACGACAGTTAATAACAGTTTCAGATGCAGCTTCAAATGTCTTTAAACGATATCAGACGATGAATAAGGGTCTTATCATGTGAAACGATCGGTTATTTCAAAACTTATTCCAAAAATGTAACTTTTCTAAGGACAAATGCTAGCCTTGCTCTATTCCGTGAGGCGCGTTTGTAAAGTCACGTAATACGTAATTACGTTCAAAAGGTCACGGGCAACGTAGCCGGAAGTACAGAATCAAAATCGTCCGACATCGTTGTTTTACCTTTTAATTCATTTTTTGTAAACGGCGTTTGAGTTAGTTTGCACGGTCAACCGATGCGTTCATCTTGTAAACACTGACTCTGTACTTCTGGCTACGTCGCCTGTGACCTTTTGAACGTAATTACGTATTACGTGACGTTACAAACGCGCCTCACAGAATAGAGCAAGGCTAGCATTTGTCCTTAGAAAAGTTACATTTTTGGAATAAGTTTTGAAATAACCGATCGTTTCGCATGATAAGACCCTTATTCATCGTCTGGTGTCGTTTAAAGACATTTGAAGCTGCATCTGAAACTGTTATTAACTGTTTTTTGGACCTTGGACCGTCTGGTTCCCATTGAAGTCCATTATATGGAGAAAAATCCTGGAATGTTTTCATCAAAAACCTTAATTTCTTTTCAAATGATGAAAGAAAGACATGGACATCTTGGATGACATGGGAGTGAGTAAATTATCAGCAAAAGCTTTTTCAAAAGTGAACTACTCCTTTAATTGTCAGGAACGGAAGGTTTCAAGGCAGCTATTCAATGAATGCACACAGTCTTCATCAGTCTTTACTGTCATTTGAGGGAATTGCATTTACTTTTTCATACTCTTTTCTTCTTCTCCTCAATCTGTTTGACCTCATGAGCTAGGGCTCAGGAATGAAATGAGGCTGATCCGTCCCTAGAGCAGCGTAATGAACAGTCGGGTTATTTCTCGTCTCCCACGGGTAGATACAGATACAGCTCATATGCCTTCCATTAATCCAAAACCACACATCGGCTCCTAAATCTTCTTAACCTATCTATTATAGCCTTAAACAACCTAATGACATCATAAACAGCCAATCGGCACCTGTTCGATTCATTAGACCTCTGACCTCACTCAGCAATTCAAAATGGTGCTATTCAAATATTGTACCCTTCATTTGAAGACCAGACTCCCGCCCATATTGCGCGTTAATGTTTAATGTAGCTCTTAGACTTTTCACCTTGAACTTTCTTGCCCTGCATGTAAGATGATAGTAGGCTTGGCTTCTTCAAAACTTAAGACGAATGAGGTGCTCTTCCAAAAACTTCATAAGTAAGACAGATCCATGCCTTTGGGCTACATCGACTGGACGTGTGCTAATAGCGTTCATGAGAAATAACTCACAGTAGATGTGAGCTTCCTTACCTCCTGGCAGGCTGATAGGGCCACAGCCTTTGCCCTCAGGGTCTTCCTCCACAATGAAGATACTCTTTTTACACAGTCTCCAGAGTCCAAAGTGGGCCGCTTCGCAGGTGGTGTTGAGCTGCTCCACCCTGGGACTCAGAACCGCCCAATGGTCCGTCACCACTGCCGCCAACATGGACGAGATGCCCACCAGGATAACCAGGAAGGTGATCTTCACCTTGGTCTTCTGGTCCTCTAGCATGGTGAACGTTGAAGGTAAGTGAGCTTTGAGTTTAAAAGTGCCTCTGCTCTTGAAGTGATGCTTTGGTTTAGTTGATCTCTTCACTCCAGCTCGCTGTCCACAAATCTCTGCTTCTGCTTGGAAAAAGAAAAAGAGGTCAGATAATAGTGCCCTAGTTTCTCTCTCTCTCTCTCTCTCTCTCTCTCTCTCTCTCTCTCTCTCTCTCTCTCTCTCTTTCTCTCCCTCCCTGTAAGACAGTCATTGAGTTTGGTGGGCTGTGCCTTTAAACCTGCCCTTAAAAAACGTTTATTAGCTAATATTGTAAATCCTGCAGCTTAACCTGTAGCATTGAACAAAGCTGTTTTGATACGCCATAGAGGACATGTCTGAGTTTGGGTAACTTCTTAGACCATGTGCACACGGGACATGTGATCACTTACATAATAATCAATGGAACTGTCTAGAAGAACCAGATGATAGACACCATGTGTCTATTTTTGAGCTTCCCCATCTGTCTGAAATTATTAAATAATATTCTATGCAGTATGTGATTTTGTGATGGACTGGCCATTCATCCGGGGTATTTCCCTTCCTTTGGTCCAAGACGCTGGAGCAGCAACGCCAAAGTTCATGCTGCTTTGGATGGATGGAATGATGTGATTTTTAAATTTTATTTTATATATTTATTTTGGTTTGAATTATATTCAGTATGTATTTAACCCTCTGATGACCACTTTTTGTTGTTGTTTCAACTAAATTTCCAACTTAAATTGATGATAAATCCTGAATTCTTTCAAGCACAAACTTAAAGGGGTAGTTCACTTTTGCTGATCATTTATTCACCCCCATGTCATCCAAGATGTCCATGTCTTTCTTTCTTCAGTTGAAAAGAAATGAAGATTTTTGATAAACATTCCAGGATTTTTCTCCATATAATGGACTTCAATGGGAACCAAACGGTTCAAGGTCCAAAAGACAGTTTCAGTGCAAACTGCAAACTGTTCAAAGGGCTTTAGACAACTCCAGACGATGAATAAGGGTCTTATCAAGCGAAATGATCGCTTGATAAAGAAAAATAAATATAAAACCCTTATTCATCATCTGGAATCATTTAAAGCCCAAATTTAATTTATTTTCGACTGAAGAAAGAATGACATGGACATCTTGGATGACATGGGGGTGAGTAAATTATCAACAAAAGTTTTTTAAAAGTGAACGACTCCTTTAAGTTTGGTGTCTTTTTAAAGAAGACACTTGGCAGATTGAGTGCTGAAGTGAAAAATCCACAAAAATACTATTTTGAAATTTTATATGAAATATATATTTTCCTAAAACTTTTTTTACTCTAAAACGTCGAGAAAATCAAAGTCATAAATCTAATCAAGTTGTGTTCCAAATTCCAAAAAATGAGCTTTCTGTCAGATTTAGTTTGGCCGCAGTACCACTCGTCTCCACCGGGTGAAATTAATTTCCCGTTCATTTCCAATGCAGAGTCGGCGCCAGAGCAGATCTACTGGAGGGGCATTGGGTCATCAGCGGGGGGGGGCACTGCCGTTTAAGAAATATTTTGACGCAAAAAAACAAACAAACAAAAATTAAACACCTTTTATTATTATAATTATTATTTATAATTATTATTTGCGAATTTCCCCACCACTTTTAGCCAGGGTCGATGTTGTCCCGGCACTTTTATACATCTCGATCTCGCGGCACGGATGTACCAATACAAATAAATAAAACATATCCGGTTATATTACCTAGCAGAGCATTCATTTGTTAAATAAGAGGCGATATAGCACGCTGAAATGTGTTGTTTTTTAAATCAAGTGATCAAGTGCTCGTTGACTCGATCTGTGGTGCTGAAGTGTTCTCTTGTGGCTCGCGCTGCCACAATAAACATCTTCACACGGACGCGCGCTTGATCTGTTGCGGCGAAATCTCTATTCGTACCGGTGAAATCCAAAGTGAAATGCACTCAAACCACAAAGGGACTGGTTGTCCCTGCTTGACAACCACTGATAAACATAATCGGTTCGGTTTTAATGATGGGGGGAAAAAAAATAATTATGCGAGTGTGGGTTAGAACCCAAAATCTCTTGCACGCCAGTCTAAGCCGGTTTAACCACTGGACCACTATAGCATTTACAAAGAAAAGTCGGATTGGATGTATGTATTTCTTCATGTGAAAATTCTTGGCACCAACACATATTAGATCCACTTAGACAACAAATTAAACACAATGTACTATTTAAATAGATTGCTGAACATTTGGTATTGTATAGCCTACATCTGATTTATGATTTAGAAACTGTGGTAGGAGGGGCATCAATGAGCGCTAGGGGGGGCACGGCCCTCGAATGCCCCACCATAGCGCTGACCCTGTTCCAATGCCGTCATTTTTGACCACAAGGAGCACAAGTGTGACTATTATTTTTTCAGGACCATTTAACCTTTTCGAATCATGTCCATGGTTTGTTTTCGCAAATGCCAAAACCTTTAAGTTTCACCATTCCAATGAAGTTGGAAAGGCAATTTGTATACCTGTGGATTTCAGTTGAATATAGAATAGGATTTTTATTGTTGTTGCTGAAGAAGCTCACAGATAATTCATCTGTTATAGTCAACATTTTGAGATGACAAAGACACACTTAAATAAATAGTTATGGTGCGATGCATTGGCCCAGACATTTAACATCTTAGATGTCTTGAATTTCATTTTCATCTTGCATGATTGAATGTTGATGGCTTGTTGTGTTTATCTGTCTTGTGCCCTGCTTTTCCAAATCAGTTTAATTATTTCCTGTGCTACTGTTGCTTGATTCACTGGATCCAAGAGGCTCATGGGAAATTTCCTTTTATTAGTAGATGATCTACTTTCCCCCATCAGTGAGTGTGAGAGGCTGTAACTATACCTGGATATCAAAATGGATTTCAGTTTTAGGAAGAGACTAGACTCTAGTCTCTTATTGTTAGCATTTATTTTAAACATTGCATTAGAATTTTACTATTATCTAGGTTTCTTACTTAATATAAAGAGCTATTGGTGTCACTTGCAATGTCAAGCATCTCTAGCTTTGTTTTCATCCACCTATTTTTATGCACATTTTGGAAAAAATTCTGGCAAGATTCGCATAAATTCTAAAAATGCATATTAAAAACATATGTGCTCAATTGAGGCAGTTAAACAAGAATTTTTACTAAAAAACAAGACATACACATACAATGGTAACACATTTACTAAATAAATTCGCTCCTGCATCAGTCAGTCAGGAATTTTTAAAAGTGAAGAACTGCTTATTTCATAACAATAGTGAGTATTTACATCTACTGTACATCAATGGGCAGCTTTTCTATCCCAGCTATATCGTTCTGGTGAAATTCGTATCCTTTTTTTGTTGTTTTCCATGTTAAAGGTCATGATTGCATGGCTACGGAAGCGCATTTCTGCCACATAAGAAAAAAAATCATGATTATGACACACTAAGTCAAAATGATCTCATTAAAAGTCAATTATGAGATAAAAAGTTGAAGTTATGACATACGTAGTCCAAATTATGACTTAAAAAGTCTAAATTGACAAAAAGTTGAAAGTCTAAATTTACACAAAGTTGAAATTATGACTTAAAAGTCGAAATTAGGGCATACTAAATCAAAATTATAAGTTAAAAGTCATTATGTCAAAATGTATCTCGTAATTTCCACATTTTATCTCATTATTATGATGTTTTGGGATATCTCAATTATAGTGTAAGTTTTGACTTAATTTCATAATTTGTCATAATTTAGATTTTTTTATCTTATAATTGACATTTTAAGTCAGTTATAAGTAAATATAATTTTGACATATTACTCATAATTGACTTCAAAGTTGACTTTATGAGATAAGAGGTCAAACTTGATGTTGTAATTTTGACTTTTCAGCGTACAATTAAGATTTAGAATGTCATACTTTCAACATTTTATATAAATTTAGACATATAACTCATAATTTTGACTTTTGTCATAATCGTGAAAATTATGACATTCGAAGTTGACTTTATGAGATAAAAGTTCAAAATTGATGCAATTTTGACGTCATTTCATAATTTGTCATTCCGATTTTTTTTAATCTTATAATTGACATTTTAAGTAAATTATAAGTAAATATAATTTTGACATATTACTCATAATTGACTTCAAAGTTGACTTTATGAGATAAAAGGTCAAACTTGATGTAATTTTGACTTTTC